CTGAACCTGCTTCCTCTGGATCCAAGTCCCAAATGTTTCCCCTCAGAGCAATGTTTTGCAGTCTAACATCGTGAGCCGCAGCAACCTCCTGGTGCCAAGTCTGGACTTCCAGTATCCTACAGCAAAGGGTCATTAATTGCAGAGCCTGGCTGTGGGCTGACCTCCAAAGTAATGGTGTGTTCTTCTTCTGCAGGGGCTGCTGCCTTTGAAAGAGCTGAATGTGTGTGAAATTGAGAATGGGAAGAGCTCCGGGCAGGAGGATCATGCTTTCCGCATTGCAGGTTGGTGCCTCTTGCTTTGCTTTGAACAGAGGGTGTATGAATCACGACTGCCTCTGCTTTTTGTCCTGCTCTGACCTAGTCCCAGAGAAGAACCATGCCGTGGAAAGAGGTTGCAGAGAGCTGAAGCTCTTCCTCCCAGCTTTTGCATCTTTTCCTCCAAGGCTTTCCTGCTCCTAAATGCCTGGAGAGAGATTCCCAGGGCTGCAGGCAGGGAGGTGACTTGATAGGGAGCACAGAAGAAGGACAGTCCTGTGCTCCGACTGGACACAGGTTGACAGTTCCCACCTCTGCCCAGTCATTTGCTCTTTGTGCACCACATTTCAATGAAGGGATGGAATAAAACTTCTTCTCCCACCTCTCATCACCGTATCAACCCTGAGGCCAGGGAGTGACTCGATGTGGGCACGCGTACGGCGCGGCACGCGTGGATGTGTGACACTGCTCAGGTACACGCGATGGGCAACAGTGCCGAGGGGAGAGTTGCCTCTACCACTAATGCCAGGCTGGTGCTATCAGGACCTAATGTCACTTTGCCAACCCTTCCCTCACCAGCCTCCACAAGCTTTTTAAACTTTTCCCTGAGTGATCTTGCTTTATAAAAGGTTTCCTGGGCTAACAACCTGTCTGCAGCTTGGCTGGAGGCTTCTTTGGGCTTAGTCAGTGCTGAATGACAGCAGTTGGAAGCCCCTAAGAGTAGTAGTTAAAGCGTGAAGTACACAGAAGCCAATAAATAAAGATACAGAGCAAAGAAAGCTCATTCGTGTCCTAGACCCACTGTCTGTGTGCTCTGGTGTCCTCCCTTAGAGAGAAAGTTACACAATGGCCACTCAATTTTTTTTAAAAATACATAAATTATAAAAAGGAGCTGGTCCAAATGACCCATCGATTGAAAGCCTGCTGAGTTCCCTGAGGCAGGGCTCTCCAACCTTTTCTGGGAGTCTGTACAATGAAGGGAAAGTTCTCCCAGGCATAACCTGTCAGGAGCATCTACTCTGGGGTGGGTGGACCTGTTCTGCTTGTCTTAAAACATGCAGGAGTGTGGCTGGGTGGAAAACTGCCTGAAGCTTTGTTGGGTTTGTGTCTTGCTTAAGGAAAGAGCAAACCAAAGCCTTTCTGACAGAGAGTGCTGTGTGTGTCAGGAAGCAGCCACACAAAGAAACCAGGGAGACAGTGATATTTAGGGTTGGTGGGAGATCAGTGTAGCAGTTCTATTTTTCAGCTAGAGAGGGAAAAATCCAGGCATGGAGTGGATAAGAGCCTTGTCCTTGGCCACACACACGGTCAGGGTAGAAGTCTCTTGTGAAATGCTGTGGTGTCAGTAGTTCCCTGACCTGGTTTTGCTAGGATAGTGTTAATTTTCTCCTTAGAACCTTCAAACCACCACATTCCCCATCAACTACACTTTCTGAGGTAGTTCAGTACGTTGGAAGACACCAACATGATCATTGGAAGTGTGGAGATGGAGCATGAGAACAAAGCCTGGCAGCATGCAGAGCTATCCCTTGGTGCACTGGCATGGAGAAGTGGATGGTGACTGGCCATCACCTGGGCTTTGTGGTCCATCTCTTGCCCAGCATCTGATGGAGATGAAGCTGTTGAGCACCTTGAGTCACCTCTGCTTCACCTGCACACCTTGCAGCTTTTTAATGTCTTCAGACAGAAAGACTTGGGTGGGAATAAACTACTGCTGCTCCGGGAAGGGGCTGCCTTGCTTCTAGTGTTCCTCTGGAAGTGCTGGCAAAGAAAGAGGAAGGACAGGGCAGGAGAAAAGAGCACGAGGGCCAGCACAGGTTGCTCAGCAGGGCTGTGTCATGGCCTTGCCGCAAACGTGCCCTTGGGGTTGAGAGGAATGGCAGCAACTGAATTAGCAGCAGCTTTTCAGGCTCTGCTTCCCAGCAGCTCCTTACACGTGCTTCAGGCATGTCTTGGGCTTCAGGCTTCAG